TTGCGTCCGGGTCCGAGGTCTTGCTGCTCCAGCGGCCGACGTGCAATGGGGTGGGCAGGAGGCCGCCGCTAGTCTCCTGGCTCTCTGCAGCGCCGTGACCGTACGCTCTCCTCTCTCTCCCGGCTGTAGTCCCAAACCCGTACCCAGGTTTGCACCCACACATCCTCCTTCCCCGCCAGGGTCACGCGGTGGGCCTGGGGTGGTGGGTTCGCAATTCCCACGAGGTCGCGCCGCTTCGGGCTCTGGGGTAGAGCTGTGGGCCTGGATCGCAAGGCTTCCAGGGCAGTCCCCTCAATCGTGCGGATGGCAGGATAGCACTCGGGACAGGCGCCGGTCGGACACAGAGCCACCACCGTCCGGAGGGGCACACACACGCGGACAGAAAAACAGACCCCCGGGCCCAGAAACCCAGGACGCACTTAGACAGTAGGGGCACTTACCCCTGAGGCTGATGCTCTGACACACCTGGAAGCGTCCCCTTGACCCCTGCCCCCAGCTGCGTGTCTCTCAGGCGAGGGGGAAGCCTGTGGCAATGCGGTCGCCGGGAAGCCAGAGCCCCAGGTCCGGCGGCTGCGGGGCCGTGCTGTTTTCACCCTGGGCCCGCAACCCTCTTCCCACGAACCAGAGTCCGCAGGCTCCGCAGCTCCCCCAGGTCTCAGCCGCCGCGCGGTGCTGAGGCCGTAGGGGGGCTCAAGCGAGCCCCCCCACTAAGAAGTCCCAGGATAGGGGTGCTGGGAGGTGATCGTGGCCAGGCAGGGTGAAAGGAGAGAAAGACGTTTCCTCCGAGAAGTGGAGGGTACGCGAGGTGTGGGCAACAGCGGGCGGGCAGGGCAGGTGGTCGGTGGCGGTGAAGGCGCACCCGCTGGGAGCTCGGTCATTTCTGTGCAAGCAGTGGGTCCGACCTCTCTCTGAACTCTGACCCGGAGCCCGGCTCCTGTGTGGGGGGGAGCCCCGCCGCCTGACGTTCGTCCTTGCAGGTCTCCGGATCTGGAGTCTCCCGCCTCCCGCCCGGGCCGGGGAAGCCAATCGCTCTGGAGCAGGCGGAGATCCGGGTGGAGGAAGGGATCGAGAGACGTCCCGGCTTCGGCCCAACAACTGTCTCGCCCCAGAGCTGTAGCCGGATGGGGGAAGGGGAAGTGGGGGCGGCTGCGCAGGTTTCGCCGCTTTCCCCTGGGCTGGCAAGGTTTGTGAATAAAATTAGAGAAGTGTGCGGGCGGGGTGTCCCCCTGTCCGGCTCAGGCCGTGCTCGGCTAGCAGAACTCACAAGGAGGCAAGGCCGCGTGCGGTCGGGCCTTGCAGCGTCCCCGCCTCTTGCTAGCTCCGCGCCGCTCTCTCATAACCATCTGATAGCTCTCGCTTTCCCCTGGCAGAGAACAGCACGGTTACAGCGACCATGAGAAGGAAAGGGAGGGGCCATAAACGGAGGGACACCACCGAGAGCTAGCAACGCATCACGATAAACAGGCAACAACTCCCCGGTCTGAACATTCTGGAGAGGACCCTGCCCCCCCCCCCCGTTCCCCCGACACCCCCCCCCCGCAATGGGCGCCCCCAAACGCCTCCTTCCAGTTGTTTCTTGGCGGCTGGAGGGAGGTGGCCAAATAGTAAGGAAGAGAAAGGAGGCTGCAGGACCCCACTAGTGATACTGTAACCAAGACCCACAGAGCCTGTGGCCTCCTGCTTCTTGAAGGCTTCAGGCATGGGGGCTGAAGCACAGGTTTCGCCAGAGGAAGTGACAGACTCACCAGAGATAGCGAACACCACCTGAAGACATAGAAGAAGCTGAGCCCACTGTGGGAATGCTGGTGCCAGGGTACAAGTGCAGGAAACTAAATGCATTCCATGTGTCCCGTAGCCCTTCTCCCAGCCCCCAGTTTTCACCTACTCCTGGCATTGCTCAAGACAAATTGGCCCTTCTAGATTTACACTAGAACCTTGGAAGGGATGAGCGACTCCCAGAAACACCTCTCCCCAGGGAAGAGTGGAGCTTGGTCAGGGGCTAAGCAGACTTATTTGGATAAGTAAAGGAGCTCTGGCCTGAGAGTCCTGACACTTGGGTCCAAGCCAACCCTGGGAGTAGGGTGAGGGGGCTTTAAAAGCCTGGCCAAGTCACATGATCTCCTGAGCCTGTTTCCACTTCTGTAAAAATGTATGTGGGCTTGAAGGGTCCGGATGATTCCTTAAGATCATGTTCCACCCCCACATTGCAGAATAGGGGCTAGGCGTCCAGTATCCCTTTTTCCCAACCTGGGTCTCAGCAGCAGGGCCAGGCAGAGGCTGGGGTGGCAGCCGCAGCTGCTGGGTAGAATTTTGCCTGGACCATCAGAACCCAAGATATCTGGGCAGCAAATGCCTCAGCCGGTCTTACCCTGAAGCTGGGCAGGAGGCTGGAGCCTGGGGAATCCGAGAGTGCTGACAAAGAAGGGAGTTACTGGTTCATGCCTGCCACTTTAGAAATGAAGACATTCTGAAGGTGAGATGTAGTAAGACGATGCCAATGTCATTTTTCTATTTTCTTAGATACTAGCAGAGAGAGCTGGGCTGGAGTTGATATGTGGTACACAGTGTGGGGTGTCTGTGAGTGTGGGAGAGTCTCCATGAAGTAATAAGCTTACGGTATGTGCAGGTTGCCAGATAAATCTGCTAACTCTAGCAACCTAGGTATGAGCTTATTTAGGCTGATGCAAAAAATTTCTTTCCAAAGCCCCTTCATCTTTTTTCCCCCCTTTTTCCCCCCTAGAGGGCCTTATCTCCTAGAAAATTCCAATCCCTCAAGGCCCCTAGTCCCTGCCCAATTTCTTGTCCATGGTTTGAGGACTGGCCCTCTTCTCTTCTCTCCAAAGACAGTCTGTTTATGTACACCCATCACGCTAGGTGGATCCCCTTGGTCTGAGGTGTGTGGTTGTGAGGGGATCCGAGGACTTTCTCTCCCAGGATAAGAGCAGCCAGACCTGCTTGCACTCTCCTCTGCTCTTAGCCAGATGGCGCGGGAGGATGGAGACCTCTATCATGAAGATTAAGTGACAAGCACCCAGCCCTGCTCTATCTTGTAGGAGCCTAGGTGAGTCCCTTCCTCCTTCTGGGCCTCTGTTGCCACATCCGTGGAATGGGAGAGTTACATTTACACCAGATTATTCCATAGACTGGAGACTTAGATAAAAGAGAGAATGTATTCACTCTCACATCAACCCTGCTGAGATACAGCCTGCAGAAGCTGCAGCCCCCACCCTTCTCCCAGCACTTATCTTCAGGGGACCTACTTCAGCAGTGACCCCAGAGGGTTAGATAACTCAGTTATCCCAGCAGAGGTAACCCAGTCGAAGGCTAGACCAGAGCTTGGGATCAGGATGGGAGGCTACCCCACCCCCACCTTCTTTCTCTCTCCCCAAGAGTCTGCAAAGTGCTCGCAATACCCTCTTCCTAAGTAGCCTAGAGTGATATAGCTACTTTTAGGTATTAGCATGAGGTAGGTGCTTTTAAATCTCACTTTTATAGGGGAAGAAATAGAAAAGAGTTTAAGAAATTTACCCAAGGTGACAGAGCTGGGAAATAATAAAGCCAGGACCAGAATCCCAGCAGCCGAATTTCAGAGTCCCTGCTCTGAACTACTAGGCAAAGGAGAAAACTGAGGCTGGGTAGGGGAAGCAGCTTGCTGATTGTCATACAGCCTTGTAAAGGCTGAGGGTGCTGGGTCTCAGGCCTCGCATGCCGGAGCTTTGACCACTGCGCGGCGCTGGCGGGGCAGCAGCCCGTCCATCAGCTCAGTTCTTGCCCACAACCAGTGCCCTCACCTCTGTCTCACCCCCCCTCCCGGGTTGAGACGGGCCCAGTCTGAGCTGGAGATACTGGTTGCTGGGTTCCTGGTCAGGGGAGAAAGAGACTTAATGGGATGGGCAGAAACCCGGCTGGTGAGAAGAAGAGCACAGGACCAACCTTGTGTGCACAGGATCCTGAGAGATGAGGCAACGCTGGCCCAGGGCTGAGGTCAGGGTTCATTGAGGAAGGTCTCTGTGGGGGTCCTGCTGCTGGTCCGTAGAGCCTAAGGGTCCGGGGCCGGCCAGAAAGGGGGGGGGGGCAGCCCTGCAGTGCGACTGGGGGGTGGGGGAAATTGAACGAGGGATTCTCGACCCCCAGAGACACCCAGACAAACGCAGGGTTTCCACTGGAAACGGAGGCAGAGATTCACTGAAGGCGAGAGACACAGAGTCACTGAGCCCAAGACAAACGGATACAAAGACGAAAAAGGGCGGAGTACAGGCAAACTCAGAGCGATGGCTCGGTCCGGGCTCCCGGAATGCGGCCAGAGCGCCGCAGAGAAGCTTCGCGGAGAGCCCGACAGGCGGGCGACGCACTCCCGGGTCTTCCCGCACACACTCCCGCGTCTGGAGTCCCGTGGCGCCGCAAGAGGATGTGTGGCGGGGTCTCGGCCTTGGAAGGGAGGAGAGGAGCGCAGCCGGAATCTCTCACCTCTCCGAGGCCCGGGGCCGAGAGCGCCAAGTTTGCTCCTCGCGATCACTCAAGTGCGTCTCCCTTTGGGCCGGAAGCCGCTCGGGCTCCGGCGGGCCCCGCGCTGGCAGCTTGCGTCCGCGCTTCCCCGGCTCGCGCTCCAACTGCGCTTCGGTCTTGGTGGCCCCCAGGCGCTGCCTTGGGAAGAAGATAGGTGGGGGCGTCGCTACTTCTCCCGGCGCCAGCTGGCGCCCTCGTGAACCTTAACATCCAGGGTCTGAGCGCACTGAAGGCAGCGGCTCCAGGGAGCGGAGCGTTTGCGGGATCTGCGGGAAAGGAAAGACCCGCCTCCGGCCACCGGAGCCAGCTCCCGCCGCGGCGGCTGTTGGTTCCCGCCGGGCCCCTCCGCCGAGGCACTCCGCCCGCCCCCTCCCGTCCCGCCCCACCCCGCTCGGGGAGCTCCGCCCCGGGTTCGCGCTCTTCCGCCTTAGGCAGCCGCGAGGCGGGAGGGACTAATCCCCCTACCCCCCATCCCGGGAGGGACCGGGGGCCGAGACCGGCAGGGGTCAGGGGAAGCCTCAGCTTCTTCCGCCCGCGCCCCGGGTGCAGGCGCCCTGCTGGGGCTCCCGGGGCAGAGGAGGGAGCAGCCAGTCGGGTGCTCTCCGAGAGGTGAGAGCGGCTAGTTGGGCCACGAGGGGGCGCTGCGGAGCTGGGGACACCCCTCCCTACCCGCCTCAGTCCCCCGCCCCCTCCCCGCCCGCGCGCAAAACACACTCGCCCCAGAGGCAGCGCGGCGGAGCCCGAGCCGCGGCCGGAGCGGAGCCGGGAGAACGGCGGTGGCGGCGGCGGCACCATGACCCTGGGCAGCTGCTGCTGCGAGATCATGTCCTCCGAGAGCTCCCCGGCCGCTCTGTCCGAGGCCGACGCAGACATAGACGTGGTGGGCGGCGGCGGCGGCAGCGGTGGGGGGGAGCTCCCTGCCCGCTCCGGGCCCCGCGCCCCCCGGGACGTGCTCCCCCACGGCCCCGAGCCTCCCCCGGAGGAAGCCGAGGCGGACGCAGCAGAGGACGAAGAGGAGTCCGGCGGCTGCTCGGACGGCGAGCCACGAGCCTTAGCGTCCCGGGGGGCGGCGGCCGCCGCAGCGGGAAGCCCCGGGCC